TTATCAAAGAGTTAAAAAGTTAATCTTAAATCGAAGGCTCACCAGCTTTCTGGCCAGAAAGAGGTTGTTTCCAACCTGGGAAAGGAAAGAAGAAGGATGTAAAGAGTTACTTTTAAAATTGAAAGATGGATAAGTATATTCTACACATACACCTTTCAGAGCTCGACTCTAACTCACCTTAATTCCTTTTTGAAATAGGTATTATTGAAAAAGTTGCTGGAAGGAGGTAATTCTTCACCCCTAGTAATAAATACCGTAGTGTTGAGAGCCTGTGGAGAAAGGAGGATGAGGAAGCAGCAGGAAGTTAAAGGAGATGCACACAAAAAAAGAAGGGATAGGTGGGTGTTTTTTTATGTTTTATTATTACTAGAAATAATCTGATTATGTGAAGCTTTCTCAACCTTTTTATAGAAATTATTGCCATTATTTAATCACTAAGGAATAAAAGGATGTTGCTTGCATGAGATTAAACACCAAATCCAGGGTTAAACTGAGAACTATGATTCTGTAACTGTTTACCCCCAGGTACTCAAAGAATATTCCAGCTGGAGTTATATTCTGGACTGCTTTATCCTGTGACTTAAGTTTGGGTGCTTCAAATTAAGATTCTTTAAAAAAAAAACCCAAACGACCCAGAAAGAACACAACCACCTTTGGAACACCTATCACCACTCTCATTCTGACTGAAATAGACTTTCCAACTGGTGTAGTCATGTTGGGCTGAGAAGTGGCTGTAGATATATGTGACTATATGCGGCCCTGATGTTCCAAATATGACTTAATCAGTGGTCAGGTCTAACATGAAGCCCCATAGTCTCCCTAAACAACCCACCTGGTTTGGTTACAGCTATATTGAGGGAATGGCGTAGAAACCTGCACAATCCTGCTGCAAAAGCTAGCAAAAAGCTGGTGGCTCGGATAAACCTTGTAGTCCCTCACAGGCGTCCCCACTCCAGTAGAGCAGGAACAAGAGCGATGTACCTGACCGTGTGTGCACTCGCTTGCAAAAACTCTTCTCCTGATGAGTCCAGGGGAAATGAGAGGGGTTCTGAAGCTAGCACAGTCACACCTCGCAGAAACCATCGATGAGGCTGGGCAACAGCACCTTCAGGCAGCTTATTTCCTGGAATGCACTAAAAACCGCTTTTTCCTGGAGCAGCACTAATTGCCTGGGTGGATTTATCACACAGAAGGATGCATGTGCTGGAGGGACAAGAGGCCAGTGAGTGGTTGCTGCCCTGATGAGCTTCACCGCCACTTTAGATGTGTAAGGGTCTCGAGTCTGGCTGGTTTATCCCAGGGGTGATCTTTCTCTTTGCAGTCCCCGACTCACAGATCTGAGCCCTTTGAGAGCAGGTCAGCTGTTAGCAGGGGATCTGGCTTGGAAGCAAAATACCTTCAAAGACAAGCTCTGCTCTTCCCTGCTTTTTATGTGAGCGGGGGAAGCTGTGGGCACTCAAAGGATGTGAGGCTGAGCCAGGTCTGTAATATTTTATGCACTATTTGCTATGCTTGCTTATTTATCCATGGTTGCACAACGCGGTTTGATAGCGAGTGCTGAATGTCCTCTCCCAAGAATTCAGTGTGGGTGGTAGGGCTTCTTTGGCACTTTCTACCACCAAGGAAAAAGTCCCTGTACTGACCTTCTGATCAGTGCACTCCCTACATCAGCTTTAGGCACACTGGTCATTGACATGGTTGCTGTTCTGGGGAAAAGGATGAATTTCTTTCCACTGCTTGGCTTGTGCTGCGAGTTAAACAGTGTCGGCTTCAGCACATGTCATTCTGCAAGGCAATTTAAACATTTCCTCGGCAATAAAACCATTACACCTGTCTTGTTTAAACGTCCGGAGTATTTGTAATGTTAGCAAAATAAGTTGTATTAGTACTTACTGCAACATCTTGAGCTACACCGTAATACATACTGGCATTTTTTAAAGCTAATAAATACTATCGGGATCAGCATCCTTGAACCACAGCTACAGCTGAAATCAGAATTGGATTGAAGTGTTTAATAAAAGAGCTGATTACTGCAATCCCTAATCCATGCATTTTGAAAAAGATTCTCTACCATAGTGAGGGTTTAACACTGTAAGAAATGATAATCCACTTAGCCTAGTCGTTTCATTCCTCTAGATGCAGAAACACTACTTAAACATGCATAAGATAAAGAAAGTTAAAAGGACAGTCTAAAATAAGATTACTTTTTTAAAGGCTTTCTTTCCTAAGCATTTCTTACCTATGTTAAAGACGCATAGTCCCATCCCTTCAAAGTGTCCAGGAAATGTTTCAATTACAAGCATTGTCTACCTTTTAAGTTCCAAAGTATTGCACAGATAAAACGTGGAGGAAAGTTTCCATTCAGTTTTAAGTATAGGATGTACAGAATCCAATAATCCTTTAAAAGATGTATTTCAGTAACTTTTGCCCCAGTTTAATGGATTTTCTGGCTTCTTACCTGATGAAAAAAATCAAGTCATATCCACACTGCCTTTAACATTTTTTCTTTTCCCTTTTTGAGTTAATTACAAAGCCAGCAAACACATCTCCTTTGTGTATAAAAGAATCCAAAGCAAAGCCATCTGCTGCTAAAGCAATGCTTAAACTCTCCTTTCTTCTCCCTCTGAAACAAACCACAGTTCCACAGTTTCCAACTGTGACTGAATCCTCCGGTCTGTAGAAAGGCTGCTGAGGAATAAAACAGGCTCTGGAATCCAAGGAGAGGCGAACAGCAATGAGCAGGGAGGAGAAAGGACCAGTAGTCATGGGGATGGCTTTTCCTCCGCTCTGCGGCTTCCCTCCACCCCGTCGAACACCTTATCTTGCATTTTCATTTTCAATTATCTTATCTGTTCTGTAGTGCAAATGTTTTCCTTATGTTGGATTTCATACATAAACATCTGCAGATGGCTTATTGCTTTTTTAACTTAGGGAGGTATGAAAATACAGTAAGCTGCTTAGAAAGAACATGCACATCCTATTAAGGGTAGCATTGGATTTATTGTCATTAAGACCATCATTTTTTCATTATAAATTGCTATTTTAGCTTATACTCCAGAGAGACAAAAGCATTCCTGAAAAGCAAACCATGGCACATCACACTAGCACATTTTGAAAAAGGGCTTTATTATTATTACTGCTTTCCCAGTAAAAGCCCATACCTTTTACAGTCAGTTGTTTATAAAAATTAGTATTCAGCATTTCCCTATTAAATATTTAGAGTGGACGTTTATAGGACAGGAAAGGAACTGTTTTTTTCTTAGGACGTGCTATTTGATACGTTGCTGTTTAAACTCTTGAATTTGTACCCGGGCCTACTTAACCCCCAGTATCTCAACCTCTTATGCTGAACCATCCTTTGGCTCCCCAGTACTAGGAAAATTAGAGGTATAGAAAATAGTCCAGAGTTACAATGTGTTTGTGTGGTGACACACTCAGTAAAACTAGATGAGAATTCCCTGTTAAATTAGAGAAATAGGAACTTGCAAACAAAACTGAGGGAGTCTGTCTTACTGTGTCTGGTTTTATTTGGAAAGAATTATTTTGAAAAGCAGTAGGGTTTTTGGGATGAGCAAGACTGATTTGCACCTAAAGTGCAGGTTAAACTAATTATATGAAAGTACTGTTAATTATCATGCTATTGTATTTGTAGAAAACAGGGTTGGAGGGAACTTCTGAGATAGCCGGATGAACCTCCTGCTTCTGGTGTCTTTATATCTGTTCATGATGTGTTTGTCTACCCTGGTTTTTAAACATCTGTGATAATCCTAGATGGGGTTTTCAAGTGCCTAATTTACTGTTTGGAAGATTCCTTAACACCTTCCCCTAAAATTCCCTTTGCATTAGTTCATTGCTTTTCATTCTAGCTGTGGTCTGTGAATTCTGAAATGTTATCCAAAATGCTGCAATTGAGCAATGTGAATATGCTTTTCTAAAACATTTCCAGCACTTGCTGGTCTTGATTATGTCAAAAATACTATAAACCCGTAGCTTTTCCAAGGG